TAAACTAACGAGAAGATTGTTTTTGTGTTTAGAATTTGTTAGATTGGTAACATAAAATACTGTTCTACGCGTTCTACGCGCGAATTTAATTTCTTTTAAAATTTATTATTAATTCATGATGTGAATTTTTGCTTGCTCTGCTATATTTGTTACTTTCATTAATCGCTATCATCATGCAATCATAATTCGTGTTAAATTCAAGCGGGAAATCTTATTACGGTTTGATAAGATTTTCTGCTGGCCAAAACTAAATAGCAGAGATTTCCTGTTGGCCAAAAACTATAAAAACAGAAGAATAATCTGAAGTAAGTCAAGCTGATAAAGATCGATTGAATTTAATTATCATAATAGACTATTACAACTACGATCGAGAATCTTTCCCCTTATCTTGAGTTGAAATTGTTCCTGTTAACACAGAACAATTGTTTTCAAAATTAATTTACTTCCTTAGGCAAAGCGAGTTTTTCAGATGCTATGGCAAAACAAGTTTTTTTCAGGACATCCCTAATTTGTTATTTTTACATTGCAGGTAAGAAGAAGATAAATACTGAAGTATTCATTTCCATTATCGATTAACAGTAGTAGCACAAATACTTCTCCTCAGTATCAGTCAGATAAATTAAACTAATCGACACGGCATTAATTCGAATTTATGGTTATGTTAACTTTAAATTACCAGTTAATGATTCATGCTGTTAAAGTTTGCGCTCTGAAGTGAAAAATTTTCAACTGTTAATTAACGCTACTAAATTAATTATTAAAAATAAACTAACAACAGATGCAATAGGTGTATATATGTATATAAGCAAATGAATGGTATCATCAAGGAGTCGATAAATAGCTTTGCTAAGCGTAAGTATTACAACTATTCTTAACATTTTGATATTAACTTTTCACATGGCTCTTTTTTTCTTCTTTATATTTGCATAATGTTATTAAATTTTTCATGTTACATTCCTTTGATACCTTATCCTAAGATAATCAAGTTAAATTTAGGTTATTTTGACGTATTGTAGCAAACTAATGAGGTTTTTTTTCTTGCGTATCACCGTCGAGTTTTAATGTTATTATCGAGCGACTGTGCCTACTTTTTTTTCTTTTTTTTGACTGTTTATTTGCTATATCATTAATTTTATTCATTCTTGAAGCAACACTTTTCATTTTCATACACTTTACATAAAGTAAAAAGTAAAATTGCTCACTGTGTTGTTTGTAAAATTTTGCTTTTTCGAATTTTATATTCAATTATTTATACGTCACTTTAATGTCAAATTGAAATGAAATTTCGAGAGTTTGCTGTGTTGCTGTGTTGAAATCATTTAAGAGGAGTAGGATGCAGTTGTCTTTAGAATTATATATCGTTTTTTTCGTGATTTTGATATTATTGCTGATATTTCTTGAATTTGGTATCATTTCTAATATTACTTAAATTGAGTATTTTTGACATTCCTTCAATTTGATATTATTTTTAGTATAGAGCATGAGACATATCGTATAGGAAATTCTTGTTCGTAGGCTTATAAATCAAGCATTCTCAAAAAAGCAAGTGTAGTGCTGTGTGGTGTAATAAGAAATCATTTTTTGCACTACGTAAAATATTCTCTTCAAAAAATTTGAATTAAATGGATTAGGCTTGCTTCTTTTTTAATTGATCTTTTTATCTTTTTTCGGTTATTCTTTTTCGTTCGGTTATTCTTTTTTCTTTACAAGTAATGATGAAAGTTTTCATGATAAATCTCTTTGATAATCTGAATCATTGGCGTTTTATGATGTCGTTTTTAACAACAATTTCTTGTACGTGGTTCAAATTCATTTCAGATGAATGAGGTGGAGCTAATGAATATAATATTGCTGCTATTATCAGTATCATTATTACCTATCACTGTTAATGGTTTATCTGTACCACGACACCCGCAGCAAATTAAGCAGGTAACAATACAGGTCAACGGCTATAAACCAACAATTGTAAGTGTTTTCTTTGTACCTTTAGATGTAAAGAATTGGAAAATAAGAATAAAATGTAGGCAAAATGTATATGCATTTAATGGTTGTAATGATTTCCTATCAAATACTTAACATTCATTCCCTCACTTTTATTTTTTCCCATAAAATTTGATTATGGGAGCTCATTATATTTTAAAGTTGAAAATACTTAAATCGTGTCGAAAAACAAAAGAGTACATATTCTGAAGACCTTGGCAAACAATGAAATTACTTTTTAGTCAATTCAATTTAAATAATAGATTGTTGACGAAGCAAGTAAACGATTTGGCAATCTTGCGAATTTCAAAGTGACAAACAAATGTTTAATTTGCTAATTTATGAAATGATGTTGGACAACTTTAAATGTATTTTTTTGATCTTTCAGGATGATGACTACATAGCAGTATCTATGCCTATTGAACCCGGATATATTGGTTTGTTTCTCTAAGAATTTTTAACGATTCTGGTTGAATAATTATAAATTACGTGTATGCACAGTTGTAGGTTCAAAGTTCAATGCAGTCTTATAACAACTCCTGACAAAAATTGTCAGGGTTGTTTTAGAAACTGCAAGGACTTCTTAAGAAATTTTATAAGAACTATTTTTTAATTTATATCTAATTTTAGTTCGTTTTGAACCGTTCGCAGATGCTGACCGTGTTCATCATATATTGCTGTACGGTTGTACTTCTCCGGCTTGGTTAAAGCCATTTTGGAAAGGATATGATGTGTGCCGAAACTTCGATTCACATATTTTATATGCATGGGCAAGAAATGGTAAATAATTTTGTTGTTGATTTCAACTTGGGTAGATTTAAGTTATGATGAAACTGCCAATTTGTTGATATCAAAAGTATTTAAGTTGCAAATATTGTAAAAGTCTTGTCACAAAGGATGAATCCTTTACTTATTGTTTTCTAAGCAAAGTATTATACGTTAATTGGCCTCAGTGTTCAATACAGTTCTAAATTTGTAGTTAGTAGAATTGAATAATACAAATAACATTAGTTAATCTTAATTGCATACTGCTATTACATCAGTTTGTAATCCTTTTTAGCACCCGATTTGCATTTACCGCAAGATGTTGCGTTCAGCGTTGGACATAATTCCGATCCTATAAAATATTTAGTAATGCAAGTAAGTCATTATTTGTTGATTTAATAAATTCATTATTATATCTTCAAACTATCGCTGTTAGTAAATTTTTTTGTTAGTAAATTTGTTTGTTTGAGGAATTACTGTTTTTTCTATTTTTTTAAATTTTTAAAGCATTTTCTACAATTTACTTTATCGTTTTTTATCATATTTATGTTTTTTGACTTATTGCTTACTTACTAATGATCTTTAACTCATTTTATCTTCCTTGACCCAGTTATTGCTGCCAACACTAAGAAACTTACGATTGATGACTCAAATGATGTATTATAGCATATATGAAAAGTTTGATATGCTGTTTAAAATTTATAAAACGCTTTGAAGGAAATTGCAGGTGCATTATGCACATCCATTCGTAGGCAAAGTATCAGACTATTCCGGTATTACCTTGCATATGATTGATGAAAGGCCTAGTCGTTTAGCTGCTGTATTACTTTTCATATCTGGTACTTCAATTCAACCTGGATTTTCTCATTTTCAAACGAATATAAGCTGTTTATACAAGTGAGAAATTGCTCGATTTGAAAATTTATTTTTCACTTTAAGTCATATATATGTTTTATTTGTTAGAATAAAATAGATAATGAGCTTCAATTTTATTTTTTAACTTACGAATTTTATTAGCATGCGCTTTATACCTAGCAAATGTTTTGATGAATGAAGAAAAATAGTTTCAGCAGTGATATACCGATTCATCCATTTGCATTCCGTACGCATACGCACGCCATGGGACAACTTGTTTCAGCATATTATAAGCATTCTGATAAATGGATAATGATTGGTAAACGAAATCCGCAATGGCCTCAGTTATTTCAACCGATTGAAACAAATCTGACTATTGTAAATAATGATTTATTGGCTGCTATTTGCGTTTACGATTCATCAATGAAAAAATCTGTTGTTCGAATGGGGTAAAAACAGTGTCATTTATTTTAATAAATCCTAGAAATGTTCGACTGGTACAATGATTTTTTTTTGTTAAATAAAAGAACTTATTGATGCCATGGGTTTGTAAATCTTTAGCACACTAAGTTATACTGAAAATAGTGAAAGGCTTAATACGAGATATCAAAATAAATATATTTGAAATTATCTTGTATAGGTTAAAGGTATTCTACGAAAAATAGTTACTGTCTGAATGATGCAAGGCACTTTAATAATTACTTGATTCGTTTTTCAGGAGAACGGGTGCGGATGAAATGTGTAATTTTTATATGATGTTTTACTGGGATGCTACATCACCGAATCCTTTTCCAGATGGAGCAATGTGTGCTGCACAAGACAGACAGAAGCTTGTGAGCGAAGAATATCCAATTGAAGGCATAACCCCTCTTCAACCCCATCCAGATTGGGAGCTTGAAGCGCATCAAAGCAAATCATTTGGTAAATATTGCTGTAATGCTTTTTTCAAATTCTATTTTTACGGAAAATAATATTTAATAAAAAAGATAGTGAGACTAAAGATCACAAATAGAAAAACGAGTTCAAAACGAGTTAATTTAATAGTAATATGGAAGTTGAAAAACTAAAAGTAGTATAGACAGGAATAGAATTTTGTTGCAAATGAGCGTTAATTTAAACCTTCTGTTTTTTCTTTGTTATTGAAATTTAATAGTTCCAAGTATATAGTGAATCATTTGCTCATTTGCTATCGTCATTCGCAGTTGTTTGATTATGACAAATATTGCCAACTGGTTTCGGGAATTTGGAATAAATTGTTTCAAAATTAGTTTGCAATTCAAAACAACTTTCACTTTGAAAATAACTGTGTTCCGTATTTTAGGAGTTATTGAAAGAATGGTAACAACATCTGTTGATGGCATTAAGCTTGGACAAGTCTCTGCGCTTAGTTTCGATTCATTTGGAAATTTAATTATATTGCATCGTGGTAGTCGCGTTTGGGATTCGATGTATGGTGACTTCGCTCTAAATAGATTGTTGAATTTATTTTTATTAGTTTTCCGTTCTCGATACTAAGAGATAATTTTTTCTAATTACTTCTAATTATTTTTAGGTCATTTGATGTGGAGAACAATTTGCAAGATAAAAGACCTATTGCCGAAGATGTGATTTTAATTACACATTCAAATGAATCAAATGGGACACTATCTTTACGTAACAAATATGGCCGTGAAAAGTATCCATTATTTTCATTGATATATTTGCTATAATTAAATCACTACATCATTTTTTGGCTTCATATTTGTTGTGACTGTAAGCTGAGAAAGTTGAACTACTAGGATTGAGGCTTATATGCACATAGAAGTAAATGAAGACTGGAAAAAGTATCTGAATGTTTTATTTGGCTGCTAATGAATACTATTGGACAAATAACAATAACTGTGAGCTTTTTTATGCTTATAAAAAAGATGCTCGAACAAAGATAGGCGATTTGAAATCACATAACAATGAAGATTACGTAATGATCTGAATATCATATCAATTAAAGACAATAATATGGTTTATGAAATACTCTCAGATTTTTCTTTTGTGTGAGGCTTAGGATAAGAAGGGAGAAAAGTAAAAGAGGGAAGCACAAAAAGAATGGTATGTTTTATGTCAAATCCAAGAATATCGAGAAAAATATAAATGTATAAGAAAAATGATCTTGAAAAATTACACATTGGTTTTCGGACTGTTTCTTCATGAAGTGTGGATACAGTCATATCGGAAAAAAAGTTTTGAATTTTATTTTTTTTGTAGATTCTACATACCACATGGTCTAGCAGTTGATCAACAAAATGATTATTACACAACTGACGTTGGCTCTCATCAAGTCATCAAGTGGTCACTTTCACATGGTTATGTTCGTTCCTATTTTTTTGAGTCAGGGTGAGGGAAGATATGAAATGGTGTGAAAAACAAATTATAACTTTTTTATCTTCTTTTAAGACTCAAAAAGTTAGTTAATTGAGTGATCAGTGGCTAGACATAAGTGGATACCTAATACCATCGGTTGCTAGTTGATCAATTTCATTACTGCATCATTTATCTACTGCGTTGAGAAATATTATATGAGTTTGGCACCACAAACTGTATAATTTTATATCAAACGGAACGATACATGTGGAGTGAGATATTTAATTTCATTTTCAACTCTGGAAAATCCCAATTATATATGAATCGTTATTTGAATTATTATCAAATCTTATTCGTTCAATGAAGTTCCAGGTTCACTATCGCAAGTTTTTGCATTGGGTGAAAAATTTGTCCCTGGCGATGATCAGAAACATTTTTGCAAACCAGCAGGTATTGCGGTCACTGTGGATGGAAGTATCTTTGTCGCTGACGGCTACTGCAATAATCGAATCATGAAATTCGATCGAAATGGACAATTCTTAACCCAGTGGGGACAGTCAAGTTATAATAGTAGTAAGTTGTTTGTAAATTAATTAAAAATTTAAAATGGAGTTCCTCCAGTATGTCTAATAGATATAATCCCTTAAATATCTCAAAATCTAATCAGTATTTTAACTCAGTGCTAATAACAGGATTAAAAATCTATAACGAAATGAAGCATGACATACTTTTTTCAATAAATTAAAAGTTTTTCAGCGTTTTGAAAATTTTTATAAGACGTGAAATGAGCTTTTACACCATTAATTTTCAGTGACTATATCGAGCCTGCATCTGGGGATCTTTTCGCTTCCACATGATATTGTATCAAATAATGATGGTTCATTGTTATATGTTTCTGATCGTGAAAATGCTCGAATACAAATATTTCGGAGTAATGGACAGGCAGTAGGCCAGATTGTTAATCCAAAAACCGGCACAGCATTCTCGAATATTTATTCAGCTGATTACCACAGTAGGATTTTCATTCAACTATCAACAAGTTCACTGATAGTCACTTTTTGCGAATGCTTCTTGAAAGCAAGAGAAATATGTTAAATGACGGCATTAAAAAAGTCGGAAAATGAATAAATAGATTGAAATGAATAGTTTTCGATAGAAATCCTATTATTGTTTTCGTTTCAAGTTCTTAGAGGTTCGTCAGCACTTTTTTAAATGAGCTTATTAAGTTCAGTGAGTTCACGAAATATCATTTCTCATGAATCAAGATTGATGCTTGAGTGCTTCCGACTTCTACTGGAACGGAATGTAAAATGACTACTCAGAAATTTTGCATGTGAGGCTCGATCATTTTTAAATCAGGAATTAGTGACTTTGTTTTATAATTATACTTATGATACATATATATGTGCAATTCGTACGGTCTGCAAAAGCATAAAAGCATAAAAAGCATAAGAAAAAGCAAAAGCTCTGCAGAAGCATAAGAATTGTCGTTAGTATGTTATACCTCGTTTTGCACTATAAATTTTGCACTTTTCCTCAAAATTCTTGCACTCATTATTTAATTATCCAATTTCAGATAATATACTATACTTTATTCCCGGTAGACAACAAAATAGTCAATCTATACATGTATTCAGTGCACATGCAGAAGCTGCGCGAGTACAGTATTCATTTGAACCAACAAATCATATGTTCAATCGACCACACACAATTCGGGTTTCCAAGGATGGACGATATATTTATGTTGGAGAATTAGGTCAAAATGGTGGTCGAGTGTTACAATTTATGATAAATCGCGATTGGGATCAAGTTGGTAGGGTGGTTTCGTCCATTAAAATATTGAAAATTTTTAATTTTTAATCGTAACATTTCATTCACTATTTGCGGTTAGCAGAGTTATCGAAAAGTGAGTGCTTAGATAGTTTTTTTTTTTTTTGGAGATCAGTGAAGAGAATTACTAATAATGGGTTGTTTACATGACATCTAAATAACAGATGTACGTATGACATTTAAATAACAGGTCTAAAATAACACATTGCAAGATAACCACGGCTAAATCCTGAACCAGATAGCATATCTACTTAAAAAATAGTATGTGTAATGCATTAAATGACTTTTTTTTTTTAATCCAACTCTCAATGCTCAGTTTTTCCTTGATGATAGCGTATTTTTGACTTCCCCAAAATTTCCTGGATTATATTTCTATTTATTTTGATATTAATAGTTTTTGGCATTCTGGAACATAGCGGAATACGCGGATTGCATTTTTCGGAAAAAAATAAGAGAGGAACATTCGAAATCAGACTTATTTGCAGCTTTATTGCAGAGAATGGTATTGGTTTATCACATTTTGAAATATATCGAACTTCACAGATCTCGATTTCTGTAACACTTTTGGTTGTATTTATTGCTGTGCCAATATTGATCTTTTTTACATATAAACGAAAGAAGTTTATGCGAATTGGAAAACACTATTCAGTTTTAAATCGTGCGGTAAGTATCCATAAGACCTTAAATTATTTTAAACTAATCAACTCTGGGATGTTTCTCAGTGTGAGGTGTTGGAATATAGATCTTATTATCCAGGAAAAATTATGAGGATTCGTTATTTTAATAGAATGTGATTTTAGCTTGATTTTTGATAAAGAAAGATCTTATCTTTACACCAAGTCATACTAAAAGAGTTCTTTCATAAACAGATTATTAAAGACTTTGATTAATTCACTGAAAACCCGGCATAAATTTTTCAATTTGATTACTGGAGACGAGATTATTATTATACTGTAGAAAATGCTAATTGATTTTTTTTGCAATTTTTACTTTTTCAGGGCTTCAAGCCTCTACGAACGGATGATTCGGAGACATCAAATGACGATTCAGATAATGATGTTATTTCTTCTCTGCAAAAAAATAATAGGCTTTAGCTGTTAACATTAGCCAAAGTGAGACCCCTTCCAATTATTTTATGTTTTTTTCTAGGAATCCGAAAAGGAACAAATCGTTTTGAAATCCTTTAGACCTTTGGTTTGCTGACTAAAGAAACGATTTCTTTCAGGAAACAATCATCTTGTAATGCATAATATCAGGATTCTAAATAGTGACAGAAAAAATCCGGTAATCTGACACCACAGATTTGGATCATAGAATGATTATCTTTCCGGAGACTCGTTAAATTCAGGAACAAATTCTAATATGATGCTTACTGGATAAGCTGTAAATTTTTTAGCAGAGAAAAATCAAATCATATTAACGATCGAAACAGTCTTTATCAAATTTTATGGTTCCTTAAGATTCATTTTTGCTTGAATTTTTTTCAACTTTAGAAATCTCTCAGTGTTACTATTTATGAATGATCTTTGTGATGAATAATACTCTCCGTTATGAAAAGTCGAATTTATGTCACGTCAAGTCTTTCTTTCACTTGTTCATGTAAAATTTTTCTTCCTTTTTATCCAAGCTTCTCATTTTGGTTGTGAAACTTCCTTCACTTTTTCATTACTCTTCATTTAGTTTACTAACATTATGATTTACTCTCTAGTTTTCTATTTTGTTAAAAAAATTTCTTTTCCTTTTACTCTTTTTTGCATTTGATACAACAATACAGTTCCGAAATATCCGTTGATATGGTATATATTGGTAGTTATTACACACATATCATCTAGTACCACTGCTGTATGCGGTACTTACTATGATCGCATTTATTAAATTATGATATATAACATACTTATTTTTGATATACTTATTTTTTAAGCT